ATACAAAAAAGATCCATAACAAACAACATATACAGACTTTCAGAAATGCGATTCAAAAACAAATCAACAACAATTATTTATTGTTAAAATGCATTACTTATAGCTTATACTATTAAGCTGTATCTTGAAAGATTTTTTAAAAATTATAATATTCAATTCACCTCACAGTTAATTTTTATTTGGGTCGGTTGTATAATAAATAATTTCGCAAAGAAGTAATTAAGTTAACAGACCTTTTTGTATCTTTCTTAGAAATAAAATTGTCAAGACTCAGCCTTAATACGAAGGAGATTAACTGACGGTCTTTGATCATCAAATAATTTGAATTTATTTTAAATAAATAATTTTTTTTTTTGGGGGGGGGGGGGGGGGGGTGGTAACGGCCTTTAAGACCAGCCCTCCAAGTATATACTTCTCCATCTATTTCTATCCTTCACTTCTTCCCTTCATTGCAAACTATCTTCTATTCTTCTTACATCTTTAATAACACAGTCCTCCCATCTTAAGCGTGGTCTACCTAAGGGTCGTTTTCCTGCTGGGTTGTTTTCGATTACGGATCTTATTATTGATCCCTGTTTCTTCCATGCATGTCCTGCCCATCTCATTCTTCTAACTGAAATTTCTTTTGTGATGTAAGGGCGTTAAAAAAGGTTCTGGAGTTCTTGGTTATGTCGTTTCCTCCATTATCCGGTTTGATCATCCTTGCATGGTTAGGTTAGGTTATGGTTAAATTATGAGAATTTTTTTTCTTTTAAAAAAACTTAAGCCACACTATTGACCTCGGGTAACCATTTATGGACTCTCAAGGGATCCATGGACCACCGTTTAAGAATTCCTGCTCAATGGCTCTACAAGTTTCTTAGATGTAAAAAATAATTGAAAACGATTAAAGAGTCCCCTAATAGAAATGTTCTGGCTACGTGCCTGATTATACATATGATTTATGATTTGTAAGCTGACTAAAACTCAAACTCGCTAGTATTTTAAGATAAAGATACATAGCGCTTTGAGTATAAGATTCAATGTAATTATTTACAATGTAGAAATTAAAAATCGTTTCACAGTGCACCTGCTCGTATTTTTATTGCATAAATAAAAATTATAAAATACAACGAATCAGATTAAACTCTAGGTGCAAATAAATAATTTAATCTTTTAATCCTAACGGTTATTTAAAAATGTTATACTCAAACAAATCTAAAATAAAAAAAAACAGTTTATATCAGATTAGTATAGGAGAATGAATCAAATATTTATTGTTCATTGACCCGTTACATTTACTGATTATATATTAATGCATAAAAGTGTTTATTATAATAAACACAACTATAATACACCAAAAGCCATAATCATTATCAAACCATATAAATCACGAGATATAAATACCTAAACGATGTAGGCACGGATCTAGAACTCAAATTGGGAGGGTCATTTTTTTGAAAGTATAAAAAGATAATACACAATTACAAAATAATAAAATTAAATTATTAATTCAAATTAGAACGTTATGAATATATGAAATTGTTAAATTTTAAAATTAAATAACAAAGTTTAATCTTCTTTGTTTTATTTTTCCAAATTTAGAAATAATATTATTATCATTTATGTGTATATTCTTGTGAATATTGAACAAAGCTTTCCTTTCCCATGTTTAAACGAAGCCATGAAACCTTAAGCCTTAAAACGCCTGAGAGTAGAGAATGATCGCATGTATAGTATTTTTTATCAAGTTATTAGATACTAAATTAGCAATTAGTGGTGCCATAGCAAGTATATGATATAATATTATATAAACATACGGGTAACGGATTGAGAGTGACCGAATTGGTTACCGTTTGAAAAAGGTATTTTATTAGGTGTAGCCGAATTGGTTCCCGTTTGTGTATAATTTAGGCAAGCCAGTGCATTGAGAACAAAAAACAAAATTTTATAAGCTTTATGTATAACATATAGATACAATTATTGTATCGATAAGATAGAGTATAGAAATATAATAGATATAATATAGATTACTAGATACTAGCAAATTACTAGCAAACAGGAAAGAAATAACAAATACTTGGAAAATTGTAAGACTAAGTATAGTATTAATGAGAATATTATTAATACTATGCTTATTAATATATTAATGAGAATATTAATGAGAAGATTACGAGAATTGAATATTTAAAGAAAGTTAGCTTCAAATTTGCAAATCAGTGGTTTTAAAATGTATTTATTATATTTTATTATTTGTATTTCGTACACCTAAGTGATGACTAGTTGACTTCCAAATTAACGATTTAAAATTTTATATTTTTATCACTTTTTTTAACATAAATTAATGCATATTAACCAAGCCTACTTTTAAGTTGTCAGTCCTAAGCCTGTAAAATTGAGAAGGAAAATGTGCGTAGTTAAACGGAAACCAATTCGGCTATACCTAATAAAATACCTTTTTCAGACGAGAACCATTTCGGCACGTGGGGTTGGAGCTCGGGAACCAATTTGGTACCAGCCTACGAATTGACAGTAATCTTATCTAAGATAAGTTATCTTTCCGTCGAAGGTCGAACACTCAAAAATTTCCGCAGATTTACCTACTATTATATTTATATTTATTCGCCAACAATATTATAATCTTATTATAATATCAGTAAGTATAATATTAATAATATCAATACTAATATTCTTAGAAGTAAGATGGAAATTATAATTTTATGAACAAGTGGTGATGCAGTTTAAATGTATTTAAATATAATACGTTGCATAACATTTTTATTGCATGAAAAAATCTAATTGAAAAAAAATTAAAAACGCATTTTATGCATATTTTAATTTTTAAATAAACACAAAGGATCTAATCTTGGTGTTTTTCTGGGGGAGTCATGACCCCCATGACCCTACCCCTAGATCCTCGCCTGACAATATGTGTCCTATAACAATATAGCTATTATAATTTTTATTATATTTATATTGGTATTAGCATTGATCAACGGTATAAGTTATTCTTATTTTATATAAATACAATTAACAAATAATGGAAGGTAGCATGGACATGAAATTTTAGGAGAGATTATAATTTATAATATACGTGTATTTTAAAAGATGCCTACAATACTTTTAAGCCTTATCTTAACAAATCGTGTAGGTATATTTAATAAATTATAATGTAAAAATAATTAATTAAACATAACTTAAGTTTTTTATTTGATATTGTGGTGTATTAGTCCTATGTGCACGCCTTTGTTTCTATTCAATTCAGAAATAACAGTTTCAATTACAAAGCATTTGTTTAGTTAATTAATACAATTTTAGCCAGTTGTTTTTAAAAATTAAAGCCTCGTATTTCTATTAAAACCAATTAACAATAAATATAATATAATAGAAACGGAAAATCTAGACATTTTCCTTTTGTCAGCAAATTACAATTCATGAAATCCATTATGGAGAGTGTAATAAAATGTCTAATTATTATAAAAACGAATTTAAACTTAATAAATTTACTTTGATATAATCATATATATATATATATTTATTTTTTTGATCACTACGGTCACATAAACATTTATGCAGTTTACGTTTGAAATGGTCCAACTTAGAATATATTAAAACCAATTTATTTATTGCCGTTCTACCGTTATACTTGTTAAATTTCATTTGATTTTGTCGACAGTCATAGTACCGTGCGCTCGTTCACGTTCTTAAATTCTAGCCGATTTAAAACAATTGAAAATTATACCGTTACTTTTAGTTTTTCTCTTAACGGATACAGTATCTCTAGACCAGATGAATAAAATCGAATAAATCTTAAAACAAACGTCCATTTTCCATTCCATAATACTGTTTTTCATCATAGCTCCAAAATTGAATAACATGAAATTTAAGTCGTGTTAATTAGAACGTGTCGAGGCAGTGTTAATATTAATATATTATTAATGTCCATATACAGACAAATCAAAATACAATTGTTCATGTGTTAATTATACTTAAAAAAATAAACCTCACCAGTAATTATGTCACCAACAATATAGAAAGGACTTTTAGAAAACCTCAGTTGATAGAAACTATTATTATTGTGTTACGGACATACATAGATGTAGGTACTTACAAGTACCATTGTATGGGAGACCACAAATCACATAATTAATATTAGAATAACTCTTAAAAATAAAACGGCTACACTGAAAGAAATATGACCAAAATAATAATTACCCAGAAGTGTTCAGTTAGATGAAAAATTGTAGGCACAACCCGAATATTGAAAAACGGATCGAATCGTACATTTGGTAGGTATGACTAAGTAATTTGTAATATGATCATAAAGATTATTGTTAATCTCACTTAAAAAAAACCACATATTTGTCGTCCAGCGATTGTTGTCGGAGGATTAAAAAACGGTTGTCGTTCGAGCGCGGTACTCGAACCACAACCCTGATGCTGGTACTCTCCAAGGATGATTACCCACCATGAGGCGAAAAGCTCTCGGATCGTATTGCATTTAGTTTGGCCCTACTGCGGTGTGTCCGACCACCAGCTGCAGCGACCGTGTCCCACCACGTCGAGCAGTACGCGTGCGTGAACACCGACGATTTATTTACAATATTTTTTTCCTTCTTTTGTTATCAATAGCTCGCGCCTCGTCGCTCTTATCAAATCAATAATAACATTTCGTTATTCCGCAACGTTTATCATTAAATGTTTTGTTCGCAGTGCTACGAAAACAAATCCGCAACACGTTGTGTGCTTGCAACCACGGCGACCTCCGAGTCGTGTACAATTTAGTGAATTCTCTACGAAACCGTGCTTGATACATTCCACAGTTTTTATTTTTTCATATTTTTGGTCTTCAACGAAATTTTTATTTAAACCGAATCGATATTTTTGCAATAGGGTAATTAATTCGTCAAATTTGTCGTAGAAACTCAGTGTATCGATTTTAAACAAAACATAAATTCTTATGCTATGGAATATATTTTTATACTCCCAAATTTTGAATAGAATTTTCTGTACTCCTCGACATGACGGAAAATCCAATTCTACACGTTTTGGTTGTGGGATTCCATCATAAAAAAGGATGTCAGGTATGTAAATGATTTAAATCTGAAACCCGTTTAAGACTTCACTATCAAAAAAAAAATTAATATTTTCGCACTAATAAACATTACATTAAAACAGAAGTATATATATTTATGCAGTTATATTTACAAATAAATTTTAAAATATATATAAGTATAATTGTGAAACATATTTATTGATTGAAAATTAATGTTTTCTGTGATTTTTTCATGCTTATTAAATAATATTACTTTTTACCAATATTCAAATATTGAGAGGCATCACAATATGTGAAAAATAATGGTGTATTGTGATTTTCAATTAAAACTCAAGATTTATTAAAATGTTTGTACTTAGTTTCTACTATAAATTTAAGTTTAACAAAAGAAGTTAACAAACCTTAAATTTGGTTTCAAAAATAATACTTGAAAGCTTGTTACTTGCAAATAAAATGTTGTTCAATTATTAATTTTTTTTAGGTGGAATATGCATATCCACCATTTACTGAAGATACAACTGGTGATTCTACTGAATGCCCATCTGTTTGGAAGCATTTGCCATACTTAGCACTACCTGATGGATCGCATAATTTTGATGAAGATACTGCATACTTTCATTTACCTAGTTTACAAGATTCTAATGAAACAATATATGGAATTTCATGTTACAGACAAATACCATTAGAAGTAAATAATTAAAATAATTTGATTATTGAGTTATTTTATGCATTATTTTTTTAAAGAAAATTATTAATCGAACTCCTGATATGACAAGAAGTACAATCCAAAAGTCAGTATGTGTTCTTAGTACATTACCGTTGTACGGACATATTCAAGTTAAAATGTCCCTCATTACACATGCATATTTTGAAGAAGGTGATTTCAGTAAAATATCACTTTTACATGATACTTATCATCACCTCAATGCCTGTTTATCTACTATTGATAATATTAGCACTAGTCCTCATCTTTTTGTTGGTTTGTATAAGTTTAAAAATTTATTCAAACCTAAATTGCAAACTCATTTATTAAATTTTTCACAGGCCTATCTGCAGTTGAACTTGTAACAAGATTTAGACATAAAGTCTTATTGTTATTTAAACTGATTTTGTTAGAAAGAAAAGTACTATTTTTCTACTCCCCTGTTCGTCCACTATGTTCTACAATATTGACTTTATTATCTCTTCACCCAGGTCTCATTGAAAATGGGCTAAATAAGTCAGCAAATATTAAGTAATCAAATGTTATTGTATTTATGTGTAAAATTATTAAAAATACATATTGTTTATTTAGTCTTACTCAAACTACTACTACTACAGAACAAAACAAAGTTGTTCTTTCAAATGTAATCCCTGAATTGGATAATAATGATCTTGGTACAGTATGTCAAAAATCAATTGAAACTGTTGATGAAGAAATAGTTCAAAATAATACCTTTACTTCAAACATTCCTAGAGATCCTAGTATTGATTCCTTAGATGAGGCTGCTATGCAATACAACATGATTAGTATTGCCCAAATCAATTCTGAAGAATGTGGAGTTCCTATGTCTATTTTTGATAATGTAGATATACATAATTTAATATTTTTGTGACAAAAATAATTAAATAATAAATTTTAATACTGTAGGGTAATTTATGCCAGCCATATTCTTGTCTGTCCTATATGGACATTTTAACAGACCCCAATGTTAGAGGATATGTAATTGGAGCTTCAAATATATTGTTCAAACAAAAAAAAAATTTAGCTGATGTCATCATTGAGGTAAAATATTTAAATACTTTATTTAAGTAATATATATATATATTTTTTTTTCTTATAATTATTTTATTTTAGATTGATGAAGGCAAAGTGGAAATAGAAAATATTGAACTTAAGCGGCATTTACATTTATCTACAGAAGACCTTCGTTTTGCAGATTATCTAGTTAGACATGTTGTTCAACCAGAAAAAGAAGATGTATTTCTAGATGGAGTTGGGTGGGAAGGTGGAGATGAATGGATACGAGCTCAATTTAAAGCATATTTATTATCATTACTAAGAACTTCATTATTAAGTGGTTAGTTTTTTTATATTAATAGTCATAAACTAATATTATTTTAAAATCAAACAATTACATAACCATCAACTCTGTGACCTATAATATGATTTTAAATATATTAAATAATATTTCATATTATAATAGAAGGTGCTCCTGAATTGAATCACTTTAATCCAGTTTTTATATCTGCTTGGCAACAAACCAAAAACTACCAAATTTGGTTAAACCAAGAGCACCAAGCAATTATGGCTCTTGAACCTTGTCATCCATTTGCTGGTCAATTGTCAGTAGCTGATATGAAACTGAGAATATCACAGTAAGTAATTATATTGCATGAAAATATTTATAAAAATGTATTTATCACATTTGCAGTTCTTGTATGATTATTTGTTATACTGATGTGTGCAATTAAAAATTATATAATTATAATGATAGTTTTAAATTATTATTTTCAAACACAATTAAAGCTTTTAAATGTAATTCTAAGAAAAATATTTTCCAAGTAATTGGGTATGCAGTGTTTAATAAGTATTACAATACATAAAATATTGATATACTGCTTACAAACTAGTTTTAATATTTATCAATAAAATTATAATATGAATGATTTAAATTTTGAATTTTTAAAGTAGAAGTAAAAAATCATAAAAAAAAAGTTAGTTGTATGGATATACAAACTAGAGAAAAGACAATAGTAGTACAGAAAATTGAATAAAACTTATGGTAACTAACGTCTGATTTTGCTTATTTTTGATAAGATAACTACAAATTCAGTTTAATAGTAGAAGAATTTTATTAAACCAGTCTTAAGTTATTAATTTCATTAATAAAAACTATTGTATGTAATTTGATAAATTATATCTTTTATAACTTTCTAAAGTTAATTAAAGTATTGTTCTATTTAATAAACTTACAAATTAATTTAAAAGTTTATTGTTTTTAACAGTGCTTGACTTGGTAAAATAAAAGAAGAGGAACTCCATTTGTTTTTTAAAAAAAAAAAGCGTCCCCAAAACTTGTTAAGTGTTAAAATAGTAATGTAGTAATAGTAGGGGGACGCTTAAATATCTGAAAATTAGTTGGGATACCCTATCCTGTTGCGTCCCCTCTTAATTCAAGCACTGGTTTTTAATGTTTTAATTTTTAGTTTTTAATGTACAAATTATAATTTTTATTTTATTCTGTAGTACTATGGAGAGCAGTAGAAGTGGTCGAAAGTTAAACCAAGCTGTCCAAAATACTAGTAGAGCAGTTGCATCAACTGGCAAAGTTGTTGGTATGTGTTTGGAAACATTATAAATTCTCATTATTTTGTAATTGTTATAATTCATACACAATAGGAGGTGCTATTTCTCAAGCTAGAGGTGCAGTAACCAGTTGGTGGAGTAATTTAACTACAGCTCAAGATTTAGAAGATGAAAAAAATGCGCCTGTTGTTCAAGATATTTAATTGACACCAAATTACTCTTACACTACCATTTCTCTTGGATTTATTCAGTTATACCATTTTATATTTTATATTTATATTTTTATTTTTTTCTATTTATTGTATGATTGAATCTTTATTTAGATTAAGTAAATTATTTAAAACCTATTTATATGTGTTAATTATGAACCTAGAGTATATGAGTTTGAGTATAATATTCTATGGAATATAAACAGTAAAATGAATAAGTAAATTATTAAAAATAACATATTTGCACATTTCTTTAATCTTAATTTTCATTAATATTTGTGTTTATTTAAAATTCCCATTACTCTTAAAATGTTATCTCAACTTTATATGACATCACTCTAGGTTCATTTTTGAAAAAAAAAACATGTATATGACACTATGTCGCATAAATGTTCCAGGTATAACTGGACCAATCATATTGACAGTTTTGTTTATTTTATAATAGTTGTAATTTAAAATTATTGTTATTTTGAAACTTACTGTTTAATATTTATAGCCAATATCTATTTATATCCAAAATACTATACCTACAACATTTTTGGTATGCATAATTTAATATAAATTATATCTTTCAATTGTCTGGCTTTATATCAACTGTGATGTATCAAATTTATATAAACAACATTTTAAAAATACTACAGAATTATCAAAACTGATATATTTAACATCTTTTCTCTGTTTGCAGTTTTCTTAAATTTAAAAAAAAAACATTAAAATAAAAGTTCAGGTATTACATGTCTGTAATTATTATTACAATTCACAAAAAAATTTTAACAATTATAGATATTAATACGTTGTTACATTGACAGTTCAGAAAATAATGTTATCAATAAATCCTGCTTACTTTCTTGCACCAAAACAGCTGTTACTTCATCATGATCACAGCTGATAAAATGTATATAAAATTTCTCCTAAATGCAAACATTAAACATTATAGACATTTTAAGGTGCATTGTTATAGCACCAGTAAATCATGATAACCCTCCTCCTTATCTCGTTTTTTGTACCCTTTTTCTTTTTTATGTAAAATCAAATCCCCCATCCGGGTTTTTTAACAGCATATAATTTCCTACACCCAGTATTAAAATAGGTTTATGACAAAGTGAATTCCCATTCTTTAATTGTGTAATTGATTTAAAAAGCCTCATTTTATTGAAAATTATATATTCAAAAGGCTGCTTGTTGAAGTAAGATTTAGCTGAACATTTTTTGGGTTGGGAAACTTGGTGTTCCTTGCCCTTTCAAGTTTTCTGTTGTCTTATTTTCTAAATCAATTGATTTATTTGTATTGTTAAATTCCAAGTATGTATGAGTTTCCCCACAACTTTTTTCTGTCCGATCTGCAGCAACTGAGCAACTAAACAAATGTAATGCTTTACAGTTACAGACGCCAAGACAACTCACATGAATTCATAATAAGTAACCTACCTATTTACAAAAATTAATTAAAAATGATAGATATAGATGAGTTATGGTGATTTACAAGTGCTATGACTATACACTTGACATTTTATTCGTTAAATATGATTTCTCTGAAGAATCTCATTTGCTTTGATTTTAATACTTAAATCTGTAAATTTGCCTGTCCATGTTACAACTTTTAAATCTCTGCAATGGATTTGCCTTTTTTATATGAACCAACTATATATAACCTATAAACTATTTTAATTTGGTAAATATAGTTAATATATTACGGTTCTTGATAACAGTATACCTAATCAAAATATTTGTTTGATATTTCATTTGTTTAAGGAAATCTATTTAAGTACTAGACATTATATATGGGGTCGTTGGATGTTTAAAAAAATTCCTAATTCGTTTGGCTTCATATTTAAACAACTTCATTAATAGCTAAATAAAATATACATTTTCTATGCCCACTCAAAGATCATCAGACGGAATCACTTCCCGATCACTTACGAGTGAATCTATAAAAATAATCAACTGTCCACATGAAATTCGTGTTTTTTCAAAATTGGAGGGACGATGATAGATAATTCCTGTTACTTATCATTATTAATGTACTTATTTTCGATTTTCATACCCAATGTTTACCATTGTACGCAGTACCGTACTTAGACATTTTGCGCCCCGGCGCGAAAAAAAAAATTGGTGCCCCTCTAAGAGGCCTGCCCACGGAAAATATAGGAGATAAATCCTCATGATCCTTTTAGATATTCTAAATCAATGCTATTTTTGTGTAGTAGGCATGCCACCGCACGCCGTACGCGATACCATAGGCGTGCGCAGAGTTTCAAGTCGAGGGCAGCGAATATTTTTACCAGCCCATACATGAGTATTAAGTTAAAATTTTTAAGCTCAAATTTAAGCTTCAAAGCATATTTAAAGTTTAAACACAAAAAAGATTAACTTGGTAACAACACACTTTTTGGATAACCAACTTATTTTGTATTAAGCATTACCGGTGTGGCGGTTCAGCTTGGACCAATTCGGTCCTTACAAAAATATTCAAACCGTCCAGGGGCAACAAGAGCACACCTTGCTGCCTCTGTGTGCACGCCTATGATAATACGCCGTATTATTATATAATTATAAATAACTTATGTTTATTGACATTATCACAACAAATTTGGGAACTAATATTAGGTATACTCAGGCCAGTGTTTAAAAATTTGTTGTCCCCGGGCATATAATTTATGTCCCCCCCCCGAAAAAAAAAATAATAATAATATAACTTATAAATTAAAATCGTTTAATACTTTTTTTAATTAACATATTAAACAAATTATAACATAATAAAACATGCTATTTTCTTTTTTTTTATGGATTTATTTATTTATTTTCATTAGGTAGGTACCTACATCATTTGTAATATTAATTTTGCTAAAATATTTTACCACTCCTGAGACTTGACGCCCCGGGGCATGTGCCTACTCGTGCCCTCCCCCCTAAATACGGGCCTGGGTATATTAATAATATTCTGGATTGCTGATATTGCTGTATTGCTGTATCACTGTATTACTATAAATCAGGGTGGAAAACGTTTTTGTTTATTAATTTAAAAAATATTGTTAAACGTTAAAAAGTGCATTGGTAAAGAGTAAGTAAAGACGTAGAGTAAAACACTGTTTCAGATTTCTATAAAGTTATGTTATTGTTACAATTACTATATTAGCCAATAGAGTAATGAGTAGGTATAATAAATTATAAAACAATCAATTCCTAATCAACTACTAAAATCAGTAGATAATAATATAATCATATTATAATAATTGAAGCGGCACCCATGTTATGGATTCCACTATGATCCATGACCGTCGTGAAAGATAATAGAATTTTACCGTCACTATTGCAATATGTATGTGCCATGTGGACTATAATTAATTATTGCGCTATGCTATTATTATATTTTATTTGTCAACAATTACCTATTAGTTATCAGAATTATTAACTTTTTGATAACAGATATAATTTTTTTTTCGTAATAAATAATAATAGTATAATACTATAATTTATTTTCGTTTTCGTTTTTGATTTCGTTATAATATTTTTTTTTATTTTCATTTTATTAATTGATTTCGTTATTATATTTTTTTTTATTTTCTTTTTATTAATTGATTTCGTTATTATAATTTTTTTGTTTTCGTTTTTCATTTTTTTTCGTTTAATAACATTTTTTAAAAAATGTTTTCCATCCCTGCTATAAATACATTAATAAATTAAATACATTAACATTAATTTATGATACTGTTATAAAAAACAAAAAAAATAATAATTCAAAATAATTTTAAAAGTTCAATAATTCACAAGTAAGTAAATTTCCGACCACAAATTTTGTCGCCCTCAAAAAACTGGCACCCGGGGCAATTGTAGCCAGTGCCCCCTCCCCTAAATGCGGCCCTGATTGTACGGATCACCAGTTTTTGACCATTTCATATAGTGGTACCGCCCAATGAGGGTTTTGAAAATAGTCTCTATGGATGTTTTGCTTTTGCGTAGTATTATTTTTTTTTTTTTTTGAGCATGCCGGTTGCTATCTCTTTGAAAAAGTTTTGGATTCTACCCATAAAAATATGTTTTCGCGCCTTCAGCGTATCTAACCTATCGGACGTAGTATTATGTAGAATAATTAGTTACTAGCTGCGTCAATATTATGTTTAGTGTCTACCCCAGTTCTTATTAAGTTAATTGTTTTTTTTTCTCTCGTTTTGCAAATTTTGTAATCCATCATTTCTAATTTTCTCAAACCGTTAAAAACGATTTACGCAGGTTCATCGATCCAACGTTGTATAATTAACGATATAAAGACATAAGAGTCCGTCACCGAAAGGTAAACAACGGGAAGTTAATATGATGAGCTTTCGAACGTCAGACTTGCGTTTCCAAAATTCGGTATCATTGAAATTAGCTATCTAGTATAGTGCTTTGCTCCCCCGAGCGTACATTGACCATGAAATAGTATTGTACTTAAGTGCAACATCGTCCGGTTGCTTTCGTCGTTTGCCACATTCGCACGAAACAAATCGTAATGTATCGTAAATCGTCAAATAATAAGCCGCCATGTACGAAACAATTGTCAAATGTAGGTCTACCGCATTCTTATTGTATTGCAATTAGTTATCTTCAGTGTGATTATTATTTTTAATTTATTTTTTTTTACACATATACAAGTACAATATTTGCGTTTCTTTTTTTTTCCGTTATTTCAATTGTGTAACACGCTGGTGCGCGCGGAGTCGACCGTTAAATAGAATACCGTGTCAAAGGTCTAATAACCATACGTACACCCGCGGGCACATGACCATTTGTTCCCGTTTCGAATTCTACGGTCCCACCCACTCGGCGCGTATACTAGTGCGCTTTTTCTCGAGCAACAAAATACATAACGTATGCGCGTGCTTGTTGCGCGTATGTCGGTTCCATCGGTGTGTATAAAACGGCGTATTACAATTACGTCGGTGGGAAATAATGGCATATTAACAAAATCATCTCTACCTACCGCGCAGGCCGCAAAAACGGTTAAATATAATGGGACGACGGTAATAATTGTATTATTAGGTGTATCACGCGCGCGCTTCGAAAATTCTAAAATTATTCTGCCTATCATGGCCGGCCAACGCGCTGTGTGAATATTATTATCAAGCGCAACGCGCACCTATGCAATTAAATATTAAAAAATAAAACCGTATCGAAACTCCCAAACACCACTAGCCGATAAGTTATTAAATAGGTGTGTAAATATGTTCTATAATATTCAATTCAGCACCCAAAATTTTATGTACCATACCCTAGCTCTCGTAAACGGGTGTTTATTTGGGTGGGTGAGAGGGGTGCGATTAACCTTCTAAATTATTGGTGCTTAAATATTGTGGAATAATGGGGTATATATTGTATTTATTAATTCATGATTACAACAATACAATCTTCGGCGTATCAATATATGGAGGGAGGGGGGGAGGTCACTAGACGAGGCAATTTGTGTGCACACAGAATAGGTTGTGTACTGTAGGAAATTTGAAAATGCGCAATAAAATTGTTTTCGTGAGAGTTACTCAAACAAATATCGGTAAAAATATTTTTTTATACTAAGTAAAGAACAAGTAAAATATTTTTTC